GTTATAAAAGCTGAAAGCTTTAGAAAATTGTAAAAGCAAAAATGTTTTTTTTTTGCTAAATTATTTTTATAAAATTGCTCGTACTGATCTTAAAAGATCCTGAAATTTTCTTGGTGCTTTTTTTCAAAAATATAAATTTTTGAACTTCAAAATTGTTTTTTTTTCTAAACTCTAAATAAAGTTAGTAGTTTATTTAATTTTTTTTTAATGTCCCAAAATTTATGTCCTTCCAAGAACACCTACTTGAAAATCTGAGGACTTTTTAATATCTGTTAGGGCTTTGGTATAAAAAAAAATTAAACCAAAAATTTGTATAACTTTTTGCTTTAACGATTTTTTAAATTAAAAATTTGTATAAATTTTTTTAAAATACTTTTTTTTTGTATATCCCCAAACGTTACCTCTAAACCTTAAACAAGTTTGCAAAATCGAAAATTCGAAATTTAATTTAAAATTTTATGCCTTTGTTTTATGATAACAGAAAAGTTATATGACAGATATGACATGCCCCTTTTCGTTTTTTTTTTTAATTCAGTTATTGTAACTAGCGAAGTTGAGATGAGATCTTAATTTTATATTGGAAATCATATTAATAAATAGTGAAAGGTAAATATAAGTTGTCTTAAAATTTCCTAGAGGGAATGCTCTCCTCAATTAGTTTTTTTTCCAAATCCGACTGTTTATATGTGTTTGTATTTTAGGCTGTGTTAATTACTGCCAGCTGGTGGAAAAAAAAAGAAAAAAGTCAACACGTCAGCGTTGAAAAAATACTTACAAACACTCATATGTACAGATTTACATATCTGTGTCGAGGTCTCAAGCTCCGAGAAAAATTGACAGCATTTGTCATGCAGACAATTTGCCGATGCTAAATGGGAGGTGCAGCAGCAGGGACACTGACTGTGGTGCCAATGATGTGTGTCACCACCTTAAATATACATACATACATACATAAATATGTACATTTGTATGCATATACAGAAGGTAGAATGTATGAGCGCCTTTGAGCGCGCTGGCGATAATAATGTTATCACAGTGAAAGTATCGCACACGTCGGCCACCGGGGCAGTCATTTAATTTGCGACTTGACAATTTGGGGCGCTGACGTGAGTCGCACGGGAGATCGTCGTTACACGTACATCATACACCAGCACAGCTCGAACGACCTTAGAATTGCGGAAGTGATTAGGTGCGATTTGAGTCTAAGTCAGATTACTGATTGCTTGGCGCAAATTTAATGATCTCTAATCACAAACTGATTGTCTGTCCAATTTGGCTGGGGGCTGGGGGCTGGGGGCTGGGGGCTGGCTGACTGGCTATTTGATGTGTGATACATACGAGAAAGCTTAAAGGCGTTGCTTGTGGTTTAGTTAAGCATGTGTGGGTTTGGTCGCCGTCGCCACAATGCCACCTCCGTATAAGTACGTACAAATATGCATACATATATACAGTGTTTGTTAAATTTGATTGATTGTTGTGTGTCTCTGTGTGTGTAACGTCGTCGATGGAGATTTCGCATGAATTAACTGTCATTAAGATTTTATATGTTGATAAAGACCTTTAAATAGGCTATGATTTTGTTATTGCATTACTTCATTGCTGGTGGTCCGTCACATTGGTACTTCCGTTAGGTTCGTTATTCGCCGGTGGAACATTGTCAACCGCTGTGTGCCCTTGCGGCAGTCGTGTGACTCAGTGGCCATTGCTTGTGCGACAGCAATGACAACGCATTCCAAAGACGGGTTTGTTGGTTGGTTGCTAGGTTGCTTAATTCGCATTTTATTAATTATCGCATCTGCCCATTGGACACTTTCACAGGCTCCGTTCTGCTGGACCTATGAGTCAGCAGTATTAAGTTGGTATTGTTTTTTCATATTAAAAGATGTTTTTTTTTTAATTTTCAACTGCGGTTTTATAATTACATACTTCTCTTTCTCAAGATTACTTTTGCATATATGTAACTCAACTGAATCTAAGAATGACGTTGGCCTTTGCATCCACTGAAATTCGCTGGACACACACATACTTTTATGCGTAATTCAATAGCCGTTAAATCATTAACAAAATTAATGTTTATTGCAACGACTTCCTTGGAAGCGACCGCAAATGCGGGACGGTGTAGATGACAGTGGATTTGTTGAAGCTTATGTGTTGGATGCTGGAATTTATGTAAGCCAATTAGCTCTTTTTGAGTACATATAATGCTGAGTACACACGAGGAAGTGGTTGAGACAATTTGCTTTGGTTGTTCAGCACGCAGGGCGCAACCTTTTCGGTAGTCAGAGAACTTTTTGCCTAACTCAACGAACAGAAAAAATTCTCAAATCACGTGCTTTCAAAGAACTATGCGAGTAAAAGCAATACATTGCGGTACAAAGGAGCCAACTTGCGAGGCGACCACCAAAACAATATATATATTTATATCGATATTACACGAACTAAAAAAAAAACGATCGATTAAGCAATGGTCAAAGCTAAATTCCACTCCAAAAAGGGGTTTCAATTCGTTAGTTGGTAGAAGCGTCGTCTGAGTACTTTCCCAGAACCCAATTGGCGCTGAGAATGCCATCGCGTTTTTTCTAGGCTCTATGGTATTATCATGATTTGTCAGTTGTCAATGAATCTATTTAAGTTGGTAATGGAGCATTTGGAGATCTCCATAAAATTTTTGATGAAAAAACTCCCTAGAGTATCGCAAAGATAGTTTAGGACCGTTGCGTCACTTTCATCTAGATTGCAGCTGCCGCACCGAAGACTCCATGTACGCCAATGGACCAATGCCGCGTAATCATGGCTGTTAACCTGGCTGTGTATTTCCTCGCCTTCTTAAGAAGTTGCTTTGTTTTTGGTTTGCCATAATGCGGCCATATGTTCCCCGCAGATCTGCAGTTCTGAAGGTTCTTCCAACGTTTATCAGCCATACTTGCGAATTGTAAATGCTGTTCCCGTTGGATGAATCCGAGTGCACTTTTTATTGTCACTGCTTCGGATTCTTCAAAAGATGCTCTGGCCTTGGCCAACCCGTCAGCCCTCTCAATTCTGTGCATTTTCCTATGGACGGCAACCCAAATATGGGAGATGTCTATTGACTCGTCCGTCGAACTTAAAACACATTTGCAATGAATGACTATTTTAGAAGTGCCACTTGGCTACCTGAGAAAATGTATGCTTTTCGTACTCCTCCGTAGTTTCCCTCGATTCCCCAGCACATCTCCTTGGAAGATGCTAGCAAAATTCAGTAGTCGGAATGAGAGAGAGAGAGACAATGAATATCTCGCACCCGAACGCAGTCTATTGTGGAACCGTCAGTATAGATTTCAGTGGAGTTTCCACCGACTATAACGCCCCTACTTCAAGTCTATCTTAGGAGTCATATAGCCTAGTTGTTTCCCTGATTCGATAAGCTTGTCAAGAATAACACCGCAGCGCTCTCCAACCTTTTAGCCTGGGTGCTGAGCTCGCAGCAATTTTACGAATGCGTTGTTCTATTGGCAGTTGATGCAGGATCACATTAAACGCATCCTAAGGGCATGACATAGTTGCTCCTGTAGCGCTTTCTAAAGCCTGTATACTGGCTAATGACCAGACGATCATATTTATAGACCTGAGGATCCAAGTTGTAGCAGAGGTTAAAAAGTGGCACATATTTTTAGGACGTTTTAATTAAATTATGCCTTCGATTGCCAGTTTACTGAAGTGTGCTTGAAGCACTTGTTTTAAGCCTATATAAAGCGAGCCGCGCCAATTTTAACCAACAAGAAGTAATAAGTTTTTTGGACCGTCATGCTGCTATTAAATTTGTAGAGTCCTGCCTGACTTGACTTTAAAATAACTACCCACAGTAGACATATCTTAAACCAGCTGAATTCGAAGTATGCCCGAAGGAGATTTGGGTTTCAGGCAAAAAAGTCATAAGAGATAATTATGAGGCAGAATAATTAGGCATATCAATTTCCTCCTGCAGACTGTCTTCGTCGACCACGAAACAGTAGATGGTCTAAAAAGCCAATATATCGAATGTGATGCACACTCGACAAAGACATGTCCAGTGCCCTCGTTTTCGTGGAACACCTTCAACTCAGAATGATTGCTGAAAAAATCACTGATCATTGCCTAATGAGCATACACATATCTACCCAGGAAGAGTGGGCTTTTCAATAAACCACTTCAGTTAAAGCTGCCGAGCTGTCGAGTTCTTTCTCAGTCATTGTCTAGGATTGGTGCGACTCAGATGATTCTAACATCATAAACGCTTTCAAACTTAAACCTCATCAAACATTTGGCCAAGTGTCGATAGGCGTACTTTTGCCCTGACAGAATACTCGCGAAGCGGAAACGCTCAGCGATATTCTTCTAGTCCGGGTTCTTACAACTACGGCGGAGCCATTGAAAGGTATTTTTATGCCTTCGGTATACATAGCCACGGGCCAGAGACCTATGAAAACAATCATGAACTGCAATCATTTGCTTTGCTCATTCCTAACAGAGCCATACTGTCACAGCTCTTCAGATTGGCTAACAGCGGAATAGGCGTAGCTAAAGACTGTGAATCGTCAGCGCACACAATAGCTTTTCATGATTCGCAGTCATCCATGACCATCATTATTCCCACCTGCCTAAATGATTATGCCATCCTGCCTAAATGCATTTCTCCTACAAGTAGCAGCAGGTGACGCTTCTGTCCTCCTGCGGTTCACTCTTTGATGGGTGGGCCTCATGTAAACTTAGTGCGTGTTGGACTAAAACTAGGACATTGGCAATTACAAGATCCTTTTGGCCAGGGGTGAACCGGTAGCGGTCAAAGGCGCTCCATATGTTTGCAACGCCACAGTTCTCTCTATTGGAGGAGATTTTGACAGGCCATTCTCCGACAGGTATTGACGCGGTAAGGTTGGGAATCTTACCTGAAAATAGTCATTTTAATACAAAAAACCGGGGTTTTAACCCAATGTAACCACACTTTATTGAGGTGCCACAGAAATTACTAACTTTTGATCATTTCACAGCAACAAACCACCTGACGCTGAAACTTCTGGCAAGTAAGTCACGTTCTGTTTGAAGTCATCCACCGTGCAGGCATATGAATAACCAGCCGTGAGATCGGTACGTTTCCAGTTGATATAATCTACTTGATCAGCAACATCCGCGCAAAGTATATAGTCCTTCTGAATTTCCTCCAACGACAAATGAGGATTATTCACACCAATGAAAACGATACCCTTTTGACTGGTACGTTCAATCACAATACGGAAATATAGTTTGGGTACAGGAATCAGACCGTTATTATTGCTATCATAGGCCAAGTACAGTGGTGTCTGCACACCATCCGCATTGGGTAGTGTGGTCACACCGTAAACGCCGGTATAGCAGTCCACGTACCACTTAGATGCGGCGACCTTGGAGCGTACACCATCTTCGATACGCTCCCAATTGCCGGCGTTGAAGACTTGCCATTGTGGTGCGGCATTGATGAATAAGAAAGATGCGCGCTGTCCGGAGGCGTAATCGAAGTCAGCTTTGGCGGCCATATGACCACGTGCCAGATAGACATTCTTGTTAGAATCAAAGTATTGACTAGCGTCATTGCCCAGCTGCGCTTCGATAGTTGCCTGTTGGGTGACCTGTTTGTACAAATTATCTACTTGCTTGCCATCGAAGAAGCCAGCAGTCTGGAAAGTGATGCGCGCCACACCAGTTTCGTAGTAGTTGCTGCCAGGATCGAGATCGTGATGTACATAACGTGTCACTTCTTCCTCCTCATTGAAGCAAACTTCATATTTTTGGGCGAAACGACTGGATGAGATTTTATAGCCGACGCGCACCATAATGCCGCCACTGCAGGAGGCGCCTGTCTTTTCAGCTACAAATGCTGGCCAAGCTTTGCAAGCCAATTCCTTGAAGGCATATGTGGTGCCACTGACTCGGAAGTTGCTGCCACTAACGCAAGTTGCGGTAATGAGTGTGTCTGCAATTGATGAGAATTGGCCTGGGCACCACATTTGCAAGCTGCTGCCCGTGTCGACAACCATGACGCCAGTGTCGTCGTATGGATAGAGTTCTTCAGAATCCGTTTGCAAGTAGATGGGCTGAGGGCTCGGCAGACCACCGCGAATGGTTACTTTACATTCTAAACGAGCGAGGGAAATGGATTCGGTAGAAATTTGTCGTAATATTCATGTTGTATGTTTTTTTTTTATAATCTCACCGCTTGCACGTTCTTCAGGTTTTTGTTCCACAAACGGTTCTAGCACTTCAGGCACGGGTTCAACGATTTCTTCATCGATCGCGGCATACGATGCGGACTCAAGCTGGGGCTGGTCTTCATCTTCACTACCATTGATTGGTTCGACATTTATGTTACGCTCGAAAATTGGTGCTATCTCTGCCACTGCATCTGGAATATATGGCTCTGGCTGAATGAGCTGTTCATCTCCTACGCTAATTGACACGATCGGCTTGAGTGTTCNTTCAACGATTACTTCATCGATCGCGGCATACGATGCGGACTCAAGCTGGGCCTGGTCTTCATCTTCACTACCATTGATTGGTTCGACATTTATGTTACGCTCGAAAATCGGTGCTATCTCTGCCACTGCATCTGGAATATATGGCCCAGGCTGAATGAGCTCTTCATCTCCTAAGCTGATTGGCACGATCGGCTTGAGTGTTTGCTCGTCGCTACTTTGTTGCGGTATACCGATCACGGCAGCTGCGCCTGCTTGGAAGACGCAGCAACTGCCTGCTAATAGCAAAAATAATGTTCTTAACTGCATAATTACCAACTGGGGTTTGGCAATCGCAGCCTTTGTGAATTGGTCTTAAATAGTAGGCTGATAAGACATACCTTTATAATTTTTAACTGATATGCTCCGTTTTTTCGACTCCTACATACTTGGCCATAAATAAATATAGATTTTATTTAAATGCGAAGGCCCTAAATCAGTTTCGGATTAACTTAATCATACATGCTAGTCTGATACTAAATTCGTTTGATAAGCCTCTCGCTGACTCACAATGAAAATAGTCAAGAAGTGACGCTGTCGAAATTTAGAGACTCAGAAAATTAGTTGTCGAAATTAACGGATAATGAAAAAGTGTAAAAAGCAACAACAGTTTACCTGGCGATCTTAGCTCGGTGGATAAGACCACTGGCTTTGAATGCCGAAGTTACGAATTCAAATCCCAGTAAACTCGATAAAGAAGTCAGTTGAGGAGATGTGGTGATCTCCGAAATAGCAGCTATAACTTAAATCTTTGTAAATTAAAGCTCAATAAAACGGTTGTTTATTTAACGAACAATAAAAAATATTCTGGGATCATTGAAATTTTTCAAGCTAATGAAATTTATCAAGTTATCGATATTTATTGAATTATCATTATTTATAGAGATAACGAAATAGAGTTAACGATACTTATTGAATAGAGTTAACGACACTTATTGAATTGCAGAAGATTGTCGATTTATCGAATCGAAGTTTTCTGAATTTTCAAAATTTAGTTATCAAAATTTCAAGCTCTTACAAGTTTATCGAGTTATCATTGCTTATCGACTTATTACTTAGTTATCGTAATTTGTGGAGGTATCCAAAGTTTATCCAGTAATCAATTTATATCGAGTTATATACTTTTTTCAGTTATCGAAATTAGTCGAGTTATCGAATTTTGTAGTTATCAGGTTTTAGTGTTTTAGAAATTCATTGAATTATCAATATGTATAAAATTTTTTAAAGTTATCGGCAAGCTGTAATGTATCGGGTCTATTCCAAGTCCTGCTAAGGTTCTCCAAAGGCCTTCAAAAATATAAAAAAAATAGTAGTCACGTCTTAGTTCCAAAGTAGGATATTTTCCGGCAAGTTGGAAAACCTCTTCAAGGGTATTAAAAAAACTAGAAAACGGTTAAATTTCGATAGTAAATGGCACTCCTAGTATACATAGTTTATTCTTTAACAAACAGCGTATGAATCTAAGTTTTAAACTTTGGGAAATATTTAAAAAAAATTGCCAAAAATCAACGGCCGTAGCTACTTCAATATTTCACGTTATTATATTTAGTACTAAAATTGAATGTGCTACAAAACTGCGTACTCAAAATCTTTCTAAGGAATCTATGTATGTAATTAAGAAGCTTGTTATTGTAAGAAATAAAAATTGTTAAAACGTGTCAATATGTGGTGTGCTTATAATTTGGGCACGAGACATACATAATTAAATACATTTCTATTTGCGATGAATATTTATCGTAATAAAAATTATGTGATTTATTAAATCACGCTAATCCTACATTTCATTATTTATTAGCTACTCGTATTTTGAACTTAATTTCATTTGAGTACGCTTTCACGTGTCTAACAAAGATAAGATAAGAAATCCATATGAATGAAAAGTTGAAAGAAATACGCATGAATGAAATTAGTTGTATGTACAGTCCAGCATATTTAAAATTTTTTTTCTTCAACAGAGTAATCATGGTATGTACATATGTCTTTGAATCATACCAGGGACATAGCAGTTATAAGTTTTATCGCAAAAACGTTGCTCCATTACAGTTGTTAGATGAGAAATATTTTTTATTTCGTCGATAAGAGTTATAACCCAACGTTTAGATTTTACGTGGCCTGATAACTGTTATGTCGGAGAAATATTTTTTCCGTTGCCGATAACAGTCATTTTACAACGTTTATTTTTTACGTTGTCTGGTACACGTTCTAATATTAGAATATTGATGGAGATGGAGATGGAGAACAAGATAAGGATGATGAAATAAAAGTGAGAGAGTGAAATAACTCTTATCCGACAACGTAAAATTAAACATCGGGCAATAACTGTTATCAAGCAACGTAAAAAATACCCGTCGGGAAAAACTGTTATCAAGCAACGTAAAAAATAAACGTTGGGAAATAACTCTTATCGGCAACGGACAAAATATTTCTCGTTTAATAACTGTTATGAAACAACGTATTGTTAAATCTCAGAATTCGGGTAACGTTTTCAATTTTTAAATTTGAGATAACAGTTATTTTTGGTCCCTGCATCATACTGATAATTTTCGCTGCACAAAATCATAGCTCAATAAGTACGAGTTTTGTTTTATTTGCACTCAAGGGTTAAGGAGTCACACTTTGAAGTGTTCGAGTGTTCGAGAAAACTATTCCTTATAAAAATTTGAGGGAGCGTGTGAACGATAAAACTTCCGCAGATTTTCCAGTTAAGAAAAAAATAGAACTTTTCCGCGAGTCCCACATAAAATACAAAATTAAATAAATCTCATTAGAAAATATTTTTAACGTTTTTAATTTTTAACTAAATTTATAAAAAGTGTGTTCTTCTAATTTTATTTTCAACGTTAAAAGATGGCGAATTCTGTAGTTAAAGTTTTAAGTAACCTTGGCGATGTCGCTGCTTTCCTTGGAGTAATTTAAATTTCAAGTTGACCAAAAAAATAACTGTTTGGCTGGTAATACAAATGATAAGATTGACTAACCTTTTTAAATTTGTGAAGTACGAAATCAGTGATACAAACATATATACATACATATTTGTTTGAAAATTTCAGCGAAATGCGTCAAACGCTTACCTGAAATAAAAAGAATATCGATTTATTAGTATTATTTTTGTTATTTTTTTTTATAAAAAAGTGCTTTATAAATGCTTTATAAATGAATGGTCTAAATACCAAAGGGCATACGTAAATTTTTTCGCGTACAGCAAATTTGGTGCAGCTCAACAGCGCTCCTTTAAACGAACCGATCTGCATCTAAATTGTGATATCGAAAAAATTCTGACTTATTTCCTTTGGCAATTAACCAATTCAAATTAAAAATGGATGCAAAACCTAACAAAGGTTTCTTTTAAAAATAAATTAAAGCCAAAAACAAAAATTATTAAAACCACTAAATAGGCCTATAATAGTTACATATTTTTCATTGCAATTTCAGCTAGCACTAATTTTTATAGCAAATCAATTAAAACGTAAATGATCATGCCGTCATTTAATAACTGCTTTACCAATAAAACCGAAAACAAGTCGATTAAAAGACTGCATAAGCTGTGCCTAACTAACTGCTTACGGTATGGTAGTTATATAAATTTAATAGGCCACTAAAATTACTAAATGTTGTTTGACTAATTATGTACTGGCGCTTATAATAATAATTCCGTTAAACTGTTTTGTTTTTTTTTCGACGGTAAGTAATTTGAATTAATTATTTCAGCACCAATCATACTTTGCTACTTTTGTTCCACTTTCTTTAACAACTACTATACGTACTCTTACATTTTATTTCATTGCAATTAACCTATTTTGCGATAGCGCTTTGCCTTCTTGGCCCCTTTTAACGCAAAATAAAAACTTAATTTTATGTATGTACATACAATTATCGAAAAATTTAATGTACGAAAATCGAAAAAAAAATAAAACGCTCAATCAACTCATTCGTCAGCTCGCCGTCGATTTCGGCAAAGCTGCATGCCAGCAAGCGATCAACAGAATCCTGTTTGCCATGTACTCCTTACTTACTTTGGCTCTTAACTGTCTGAAGTGTTGATTTGTGGCATGAAATTTGCACTTTTATTTTTATTGCTAATTTCGCAGTTAAACTATGCAATTTTATTATGTGAGCTCTTTTATGAGTTATTTTTGGGTGAAAAAAAGAACGAAACTAAATAAAAAAACATAAACAATTTAGCTGTGAGGGCTATCGGCTGTTCATTGGTTAGGCCAGGCAATGACTTTTGCGACGGATATACAGCTATGTACATATGTAGCCATAATTACAGCATATACGTACATATTCCATGTATATATGTATGTCTGTCTGCCTATATATATACATTATCAGCATTTTGTTGCATGCAGCATGACCGTTTTGCAAATTATAAAGATGATTGGATTTTTTAAGGGAATTACCGCGGTGCAGCTGACAGACTGACCGAATGAGTGGTTGTAATAATGACAGCTACGCTTGATTTGAGGAAACAGGCTTTGGTTGACGATATATAAATACATGTATAATATGTATGCAAGTTCCCAGTACGGAAAGAAAGTAATTTCAATATCGTTGTTCAACCAGCTTTTTACCCACCCCAAACTACTTAGTTGAAGATCTGACTTTCTTCCTTGGAACGAACTGTTGACTTTTACATGGCAGTGTCCTAGGCATCTTTCAGCTATCCGACTCTGCTTTTGACTTCAACTGCTTTAAAATGCACAGAGCTTAAAGCACTTCAAAGTCAGTATGTTTCGCTTAAATACGCTTTCGTTCTGCACTTCACAGATGCT